ACCGATCGATCGTTAAAGCTCCTTCACACCAGACGGCTCCAAAAAAGAACTTTTTCAAGGCTCGCACCAAATTATACAAGAAATGGTAATTTTGGGCGTTCGGACCACCATTGCTGATTGACGGGAATTACAGATTTTCTAAAATCACTGTCTGCAAAAACTAAAAAAATTAGGTTTCAATTAGGTCAAGGGAATTTGCAATTTGTATCACCGGCGTTGCTCTGTGGGAGGTACTGTGCTCAGAGAACGGCGGGTGTTTGAAATTTCTTGACGTTGAGTTGAGGTCGTACAGAATGGGAAATGTTCCAAAATCAGTGTGGTAAAAGGACTAGAAGCTCTTCAGCAGGGTGATAATCACAATGGGGTGGTCTAGGAAGGTGAGGTTGCGGTTTAGGAGCTCTAGCCGAGCTCTTCCATCCTCTGAAGCATTTTTGTACCAGTGCGAGGGGTATACTGATATGTACTGGGACGTAAACTGGGCAACACTGTCGCTTTCATGGTGGAGCTTTCAACCCGTGAGAGACCAAGCGCGTTGCTTGCAAAATCGCTGATTGCTAAGTGTGGTCATGTCAAACTTGAGTATTGTTTTTGTTGTTCATGTTTCCAATCTTTACATTTCGAAGGTGATGGGTGTGAAGATCAAAGAAGAATGGAACGTGTTCACCACGGAGCGGATCGATGCGACAAGATTCTGTAAGTATAAACAGCCCATATTTTGATGTCATCTCATTTGCTCTCTTCAGTACATAGTTAAACTATCAGAGCGAATAGGCGGAAACCAGGAATACCGTCCTCTTAGGTGGTTTGGCAACTTACCCTTCCCCCTCCCCTCCCCCCCTCACCTTTCGTAGACTCACTCTGCATTTTCCGATAAATCCCGTTAAAATAGAGAGAATGGGTGCGAGTTTTTATGATGGTTAAATGAGTACCACCTGAAGGGACCTGCATTTGCCCCTAGAATAAATAAACCAGCTATTCAATGCCGGAAGTCACTTTTTCAGATAACAGTTGCGGTCCGATCAATATTGAATATCCAGAATACTTAACGAAGACGTCGTCAATGTATTCGGCTTATATGCAAGGAGACGTGGCACGATTTGAATGTGTTCAGTCGCACTGGATCAAAGGTGTTAACGAATACAAATGTGAGCCCTGATATTTCATATACAAGTTCCAAAAACTCGAATCACCTTTCTTAGGAAAAGGAGCGTTGGTTTCTCAGTCAATTCGAAGATTCTGATTTCAGGCGGAATCGTCGTTGACTACAACCGTCCAAATGAATATCGCTTTGAGTGGAACAAAGGCGAACAGCCATGGTGTCGATCACGTGAAAAAGAGAACTTCTTCATTTGGCTCAGTGCTATCTTAGGAACGATTGCTATAATTATGGTGAGTA